TGTCTTTGTCGGTAATGTCATTCTGCCTATATATATATGGTAGGGGGCGCTCACCGATCGTTCTTATGGAACTCATTCGTTCCGTTGCGCCTTACGGGCTCTTACTAGAGTCCAACCAGCAGCCGCAAAGCGGCGTATGATATAGGCAGTATTTTATAACCGACAAAGACAGTGGAGACTGGAATAGCCATTTCTGACTTAATAGACGTCGTCGGCCTTGCCTATTCACCGTATAACTTACCATACCATAGCATACCATACCATTGTATATTCCCGATCGAAACCGACAAGGCAACGGGCTCGTGCTCCAGTGGTTAGAGGCGTGGACTTCTAACTAGCAGGTCACGAGTTCGAGCCTCGGGTGTGTCACACTTCGGGGGGGTTGGGTATGACTGGCTGACGACGGCTAATAAGCCTGAAATGGCCATTCCAGTCTCCCTTGTCTTTTTCAGTAATAACATACTGCCTATATCATGTACCGCTGTGCGGCTGCTGGCTGGGCTCGAGAGAGATCCCGTAAGGCACAACGGAACGAGTGAGTTCCGTAAGTACTATCGATGAGCGCCCACTACCATTATATCGATATATATATATGTGCGTTTGTGTGTTTGCTAAAAGCGGTGACGTGGAAAATTGCCAAACGACTGGATAACGTTGACCTTACGATTGACCCAGTGTTGTGTTTGTATGTGGAGCAGCCGACTGGTGGTCTAAGAGTCAGGCTGCAATGGCTCCTTAATGTGACCCTTGTGGCACTCTCACTCCATGGGATCCGAACCAGGTTTGAGTGCACGCCTAGGTACGGCTTCGACCACGCCAGCCACACTTTTGCTAATGGTCAGAAACCTGGTCATTTGTTGTGTAGACCAGGGGTGTTAAGACGAGCGCCAAGGTGCGGACTCGACTGTGCCATACAACTACGCCTTCCGACGCCTCCGCTGTTCTTGACTCTGTCTTGATACCAAATCTAGGTTTGGGAAGAGAGAGTGCGGCAGATGCAGTGCAAGTTTACATTCACTATAAACGAACTCACGCGCAAGTCGCCGTCACTGCTGCGGAGCATCTGGTGGCAATCCTCAGCACAGATGGTCGAAATGTCATCATGTGGCGAGTTGAGCTGACCGTCCTCGAGATCCCTCCTCCTCATTCCTTCACCTGGTCACTCCAATCGTAATTTGTTCATTAACATTCGCAACAGGTTTTTGCAGGCTTTATAAGTAGTTTGCGATTAGTTGAATTATTTGACCGAAGTATTGTCCTTTCTTTCCTAGAACACGGAAACGTATGTGAATCAGTTGCGTTTTAAATAAAGAATGAGATCAGTGTATTTTCAGCTTAGCACTGGACATCAGTCATCGAATACCGAACTGCAGTTTTTAAGAAATAGTTCATATTATGGTCGTTTAATGGCGGGTACATACAAGATTAAATAACATGACATGGAGGAAAATCGGGATGGGCTCATGGGTAAGTATGCACAACCCTCACCGGGACACCCATCGACAAGCAGTTATGACGCAACAGGTGCTTTTTTTGACAAAGATGGCGAGACTCGAATGCGTACTTGAATCTGTCGGCCATAGAGCGAAGCTTGCCACCTTTGCTACGTGAAAATATAACCGCCTAGGCACGGGTTTAAGAGGAAAACTTGAATTTGCTAGGATATTTATTAAAGAAAATAGAAAACCATCCTAGCATCACTTTGTTACTGAGCATTGCGGCCTGAGGTATTACTCTGAGTATGAAGAGGTCCTTCAAACCGCGACATCCACGTGTTGTCTGCACGTCAGTCTGGTCTATGCCAGTTTGGTTTTCGGAATCAGGCGCGAGAGTAGGGCTCACTGATGTCTGGAGGGAGACATGATGTCCCAAGCGGTTGCCGCCTCCGCAGCAACAACGTGCGTGACCTGACGGATCAAATGGGGAGTCCTAAATCCAGGCGAAGCCTGCATTTTAATTGCAACCGGTCTGCGACTTAGTGGTGTCTGCCAACTCACGTTTCAGTCGACTTGTTGAGGTGCGATGGTGCAGAACTTAAGGGTTTTTAAATCAGAAGGCAGAGAAGGCAGTTAGATGGGCGAGGTCTTCTGAGACAATGTAGCATTGGCAGTTAATGTATTACAAATGCTTGGCTAGTTTGGTGTAAATCGATATATACTGTAGGGCGACGAAGGCCTAAAAACACGACGAAGATAGGAGAACACATTTACATCGCCAGCAAATCTAAAATCTGCAAACGTTACGGAACGGCAAGGGCATGCTAAACGGACCTTTGTGAAATATTTCTGTGCAGGTCAGTTTAGCAGTATGTGACCAGTTATTCCTTTTTATCCCTTCGCCTATTTTCAAATGAAAGTCACATGTCCGAATGTCTTTCTCATTCGGCAGTTAATTGTGCATATTTTCATATTTCCACTGCCTATTGAAACAACGACCAGCTAAACAAACATCTTTTATGGAATCTAATTAAGCCCTATGCGACCTGATATGCTTTTTTATCTAAGACCCTAGACATACTGCAAACTGAAATTGGCATGTTTCAGCTTCTGTTCCAGTTGGTAGTTTCTTTTGGATACTTCCATATTGTCAAAAGATATGGGCCTATTTTATTCTGACGACTAAGCTCCTGTAGTTGGCTGCTTATGAAGTCACATAAAGAAAATATTAATTTAATAATATCCCCGGAAACCATTTTAGATTTTAACCTAATTTATTAATTCGTTAAGTTTATTTACTGCTGGATGCTCGTGTGAAAGACAGGAAAGTCATATCTGAACGCAGTTCACTGATTCGTCTGGTCCCGCAAACCCTTCCACCACTCCAACCGACACGCTTCAAAATTTCCTGCCTAGAATCGACTTTTTTACACTTTAATAAACTAGAGGAATGGCGGCAGTAAGCCTATTTTCAAAGAGTATAATTTACTGAAATTTTAATCAGTTGCTGCATCAAGTGTGGGTCGTGAAATACACGTTTGAGTTTAACCCCAATGTACAATGATCTTGCATTCTGACCAAATCTATGATGCCGATCAAGCCCGATGCGATGCTTGCCTGAATTGCTTTACTCAAGTTGCCATTCGACTGCATGTATTCGTAAGCAGACACGTTTCACGCGTTCAGTTTTCCAATATTCGGGTTTTATTGTATATGTCAATGTTTTGTGCCTTATAGCGAAGGCTCCTCAAGGATTTTAAAATAAAGCTTCACTTACTAAGTAAACTTAAGCGTCAAAAATAAAGAATAGAATCGTATGCGGGACTCTGTTGATTATAGTCGAAAAGCGAATATTTGTGCCCTTAATTATAAACTGTGTCTTCCTCTACAGCGCGCAAGATCAAACTCTCTGCCAGTGGAATAATCGCCTTTTAACAAACGAAAGTGGGCCGTATGAACTAAAGGCAGTTATCTACGGAGACTACTGGGTAAGACTTCTCAGAATGTAACGATACGAACTCCTTGATATTTGCGGGGCTGAACTAGAACCATATTAAGGTGAATTTCGTTTATAAAACCTACTGACACTTGGCTTTTCTGTAGTTGTTATTGGTGTGCTGACCTTCAAGTCGCAGATATAAATAAACGTAGGATTTATATTATAACAAATGTGATCAGATCATGAATTTTTAAGATAACGTACAAACCACTCCTACATACTGTTCTGAAGGTTTCATTCCACCAACAATATTTGTTTATACTTTAATTCAGGCCGGCTGGATAGGAAAAAGTGGGTTTCATGAGGTCCGAGGAATGCCGGGGATGTGTAAAATGAACTCCAAATTATTTCGCTGTAAACACATAAATGGTTAGTTTATTTGGTTCCTATTAATGCCATTGCTGATATATGCATATAAAGAAATGTACATAGCTATTTCGTGATGAATGGACGAGTAATTTATAGTTAGCTTTCGACAAGGTTTTGTCATGAACTCGCAGCATCTGGTCTTTTCTGGAGGCCTCCACGTACTTGCAGATCCGGTTTCCGCACCGCTGTCTCGATAGGTGTCATAATCAATGCTTTGACGGTACTTGCGAAATCTCGCAGGGCAATCCTGGAGGAGCACTCGGATCATCCTTCTGCTTTGCTGAAATACTGCTCTTCCCGCCAAATCCGTGTTACCCGGGACTTGTATGAACCACATTTCTGTTCACATTATTGTCGAGACACCTGTGCAGAAACCGGATCTGCAATTACGTAGAGGCCTCCAGAAAAAACCAGATGCTGTGAGTTTATGGGCGAGATCGGTACAAATCTGCTCCTGTAATGGGTGACTGAATAAGCCCGCGAACAGAGAGGGATACGTGACACAGCACTGGAGAAAAAATTCCGAAAGCTGAGCAATCCAAAGTCGCCCAGAAACGACGAACTGGTGCACAAACCGTCGACAAATGTGTTGACGAAGTATCAGATGGAGGTTTAACGGCACGAAGCTTCATTTAACACGGCTGACGCCAAACCTGTTAACATGATTGCAGCAGTGGAATCAAAAATAAGTCGGACGGAGGCAACGGAGGAGACTAAGAGCCTCATCCCACACCAAGTGTCGCCCCTCTTAATGGCCCACAGGCCACTAGATGTGTTTACGCTTAGAGAAACCAATGCCGACAAAAACCTGATCATCGTGCCAGCAGACAAGGGCGCTCCACGGTTGTACTGGACAGGACAGACTACCTTCAAAAAGCCTTAGGTTTACTGGATGACCGACAGCTATATGTCCCATGTGCAACGAACCCTGTAAAAGCGCTGACACGCAAAATTAATGCTACGTTGATGGCCTTGGAGAACTCACGTGAAATAACACCGACCGACAGACGCATGACCAGACCCCCAGATACGAATTTGGCCCTATTCTTTGGCCTCCCTATGGCACACAAAGTCGGTGCTCCTCTCCGGCCCGTCGTGTCGTTCAAAGGTACTCCAACATACGGACGAGCTAACTGGCTCATCCGGCGTCTCAGGTTCCTGACCGCTCAATCAGGCAACACGATCCAAATGAGGTCATGGTATCTTTTGATCTCGCGTCCCTTTTTACTATTATTCCCCGCGACCCGTCGATCAAGACAATCGAGTTGCATCTACAAAGCAAATACGATGAAACGAAGAATCGTCTTGGACACGCTCAAGTCCTTGAGTTCCTGAAGTTCTGTCTCAGGACGTACTTCATGTTCGACGGGACAATCTACGAACAGGTGAAGGACACACCAATGAGTTCGCCGATTTCGGGATTCATTACCGAGGCGGTCCTGCAACGGTCAAAGTCGCTGGTCTTCCAACAGCATAGACCGAAGTTCTGGGTCCGGCATGTGGATGATACCTTCGTCGTTATCGACCGTGATCAGCTGCTGATATTCAAGGAACATCTGAATGCGGTCTTCCCAGACATACAGTTTATGATGGAGGAGGAAGAGAACAACCAGTTGGCCTTCCTGGACGTCCTCATATGTCGTAAAGATTGTGGCGGTCTTAAAACCAAAGTGTTCAGGAAAGCGACAAATACGATGCAGGTACTGGACTTCACCAGCAACCACCCATTCGACGAAGCCGAAATTCTCGCAAGAAATAACAACCACGTGGGCTGGGAGTTGCCTGAGTCATGGTTTACTGGCCCCCAGCCAATTAACAAGTGAAATGACCTTCCCCTTCCATACTCAGTACTGAGACTTCGCCTAGGCGGAGTAATTAGCCACGCGGGAAGCGCATATGTGAACACTTTTCCCAACGCCAGGGTCGGTGGATCAGATGGTCGAGCAATCATCACACCAACATCCAACGCACGCGATGAAATTGCGGCAATTATCGACGGGAATATGGCCCTCAAACAGCCATCACACCATGTGCAACGATCCCTGATGGAGGGGGAAGGCGTGAATATTCGTAGGTATGAGGTAGCATGGCGACTGCATCCTATAAAAACTGCAGCCCCTTGTGTATGAACTACTCGTATCTGCTTTTGTCTCTGATGATGGGTTCGAGCAGGAATCCGAAAAGTCAGGCTAATAAAGCCCTTGTCCCTGTGATCGTGTCTCCTTCAACGCTTGGTTTTTCTAATTTTGGTGGTCAATATCATGAAATTTTGGCCAAAATTCTGAAATGTCATTTAGATTAGGAAGATGTATTAAAGTTTGCTTGCATTACTAATTTCCGTACCTCAATATTTCAAAATATCCTAATTATTCCAGGATATTGGTTTTTGAATAAGCTCCTCGCCGCCTGCGTGCAAACTTTGTCTTTACTGGGGAGACAATGACTTTTGTCGTAGGATATTTTCTCGGACTTTAAGCGTATCATTCAGTCAAATTTGTTTCGCAAAAAGCGCAAAACCTAATATCATTTGCAGCACAGATTTTGTAACTTATGGTGTCTTTCATGACGGATTTACTCCACTAATTGGTATAACTAATTTATGACTGGTCTTCTCATTTATTTTACTTGTTTTTTCTTAGTAATAATGAAGCTGTTATGCGTTGCATCTGCGTTTACGTTTTGATTGTGCGGTCTGCAAAATCCATGTAAAGAAAATTGTATTATGATAGTGGGCGCTCACCGATCAGGTTACGGAACATGCTCGTTCCGTTGTGCCTTGGGGCTCATACTTAAACCCTCGCAGGCAGTCGCACAGCGACTAGTGATATATGTTGAGAAGATGATACGGACAAAGACAAGGGAGACCGGAATGGC